CGCGTTCTTTTTTCAAACATAAGTCCAGATACGGCGCCGAATCTGGACTTAGTTTTGAAAAAAGAACGTGCATTTATCAATCTTCAATGTCGAGAGATTATCCTACCTTTTCCAGAACTTTTCTAGCTTTCGTAGTTCTCTAGATCACGAGGTGCACATTTTGCCAAAAAACTGACCAAAGAAGAAAATAAACTAGAATACAATTGCGCTGCGCACAAGTTGCGATATCGACAGAATATATCCGATCTGAATCTGTCAGAAGCTATCCGCAGTCAATAGGGACATATTACACACATTACCACATTTTTGCTGTTTACTCAATATATATACTAAGTAAATCAAATCAATACAGATATATTAATTTGACATTTCGTCTCAAGAACGAATGGCGTCGGACAAACAACTCTTATAAATACACGAAAAGTTCCGAAGTCCAAAATACAGTTTATTTCTACTTGTGTAGCTTATGGCGCCGAATCTGGACTTATGTTTGAAAAAAGAACGCGCATTGATCAATCTCAGCGCACAAGTTGAGATGTCGAAAGACTCTGGTCATATTAACAGAGACAGAGAGATCATTAAAAGTTGAAATTAATAATTTCTACTCAGCATTTAAATGTCTTACTGTTTTATTAATCTATTGGTTGAAGACAAGAGTGCATTCCAAAATTAAATTTAGTTCTTCGATCTTCTGTATCCTCTACTGCTGTTCCACTATCGCTATCGCTATCATTGTCATGCTCACTATTTGTTTTTTGATCCTCAACAATAACACTTCGTTCTTCAACAATATTACCAATATTATCGATCTGCATAATGTCACTTTGTTCTTCACCGCCATCTATATCAATTCCACTTTCAGTTTCTTTCTCGCTAACAGATTCACGATTTTCGACGGGATTGGTATTATTCGTCAGAGCGATGGTTAGCGAGATAGTTATGATTAATTTCATTAATTTGAAGCTCTCTGTCATCCTCTCTTATAACTTTATAACGTTCTCAAACCTCTCTGATATGTGTCGGATTAATTATAGATTTATTCCATACTCCTTTATATTGAATCCTACTTTTTAACGCACATGGCATAATCATAGATTTATCAATTGGCCTAGGAAAAGACGTGACTATTTCTTGCACATTAGCTGGAACACATTGAAGAGGGCCATCACCAGTTCGTTCCTTATATGGTAAAACATCAACAATGTACATAAATGGAATTACTAGAGCTACGAGTAATTTTACGAGATAACCGAGTCGTTCCACCTCCTCGGGTACGGGACACAGTGCTAAAGCATTAACTCCAGTTCTAGGTGGAACTTTCTCCATTTTTAAAGGTCTAGCCCATTTGCGACAGATCCATTCATTATTCGGAGGACTTATCTTAACCGAAAACACTCTTTCAGTTTTGCTCTCTGTTCATGCGACAAAGATTTAGTCAAGTACAAAGATCGCTCGCACATTACAACCTGATTTAAAAACACACATCTGTTGCAGACAATGCAAATGAAATCTGGCCCTTCTTTTGCGATTATTTCAAACTTCTTATATTGTTGATGTATATCTTTATTGATTCTGATAAAGAAAAGGTCAGCGGTCAAAGACCATTATGGACCTAACAATAATAAAGATGTTGTCCGTAGGTGCTCACAGAAGGGAATTATGGATAAAAAAAAAAAGAGTAACAATATAAAAAACTAAGAAGTCAGGCCAGACGACAAGGAAAGGATGAATATCATAAAATTGGAAACTGAAAACTACTATGTCTGCAGTTATTCAAATCTGTTCGTTTGCTGAA